GTCCCTTCTCATCTGTCTGTCCATCCATCCCTCTGCTTTCTCCATCCAAAACCTCCATCCCCTCCTTCTCACATCCACGTTCTCCTGTCTGTCCATCCATCCATCTGTGCCCAGTGCAGGGCCGGCCCCAGCATTTCTGCCACCCCAGCAAAAAAAAAAAAAAAGAAAGAAAAAAAAGCCGCGATCGCGATCGGCGGCGGCAATTCGGCGGCAGGTCCTTCGCTCCTAGAGGGAGCGAGGGACCTGCCGCCGCTGAATTGCCGCACGTGCTGCCCCTCTCCCTTGGCCGCCCCAAGCACCTGCTTGTTAAACTGGTGCCTGGAGCCGGCCCTGGCCCAGTGCAGGCTCCCCATCATGGCCCCTGCCCCTCCCGTGGAACCCCCCTTCACCCAATCCCCAGTGAGGTCATGCCCATGACCCCTGGGGCCAGCCACGCCCCCTGCCATGGGGCTCACGCCCCAGCTTGACTCATACATGATGTGTCCCCTCTGGGCTCCACCCCGCCTTGGCACAGGGCCTCGGGGCTGGGCCTCTCTCTGGTGGGGGGGCAAATATCCCCCTCCACCTACCCTCCTTAATCCTCCCATCTGGGGTTGGGGGGTTCCAGCATTCCCCTACCGGGGCTGGGGGTCATGTGCCCATCCCCGTCCTATGTGGCTGGTGGGTCCCTACCGTCTGCCGCCTCCACCCCTGAGATCCTCGTGAACGCCCCCAGGGCACTGTGTGGGTCGCTGGGGTTCTGCCCCCCGGGAAGGGGCGGTTGGAGGACGGGAGGGGGCAGAGCTAGGGCTCAGACACTCACCCGCCTCTGTCTCATTCCTCCAGGGTCCCAGGGGCCAGCGGGGGCCACGAGGAGCCACTGGAAAGCTGGGGGCGAAGGTGAGGTCTGGGGCTCCAGGTCTGTCCGTCTGTCTGAGTGTCGGGTCGGGGTGGGGTCAGTGTGTTGCAGGGTGAGGTCTGGGCAGGGCTCAGAGGTCAGCGTGTGTGAGCAGGCTCTGGGCGTGCAAACGTGCAAGGCTGAATGTGTTCCTTTGTGTGTGTGTTTGTGTGTCCGTCTGTCCATGTGTGTATGTCTCTGTGTGTGTGTGTGTGTGTGTGTGTGCCCCATCTGCGTCTCTCTGTGTGTCCCTGTGTGTATCCCCATGTGTCTGTGTGTGTGTCTGTCTCTGTCTCTCTGTGTGTGTCTGTGTACATCCGAGTGTGTGAGAATGGGTGTGTGTGCTTGCACATCTGTGCACGCGTGTCAGTGTGTGTTGGAAGGGGACATGCTCCCGGTTGCCTCTCACATTTGTCTCCCCCCACAGGGCACCTCTGGCGGCGACGGCCCCCATGGCCCTCCCGGGGAAAGGGTGAGCGTGAGCGCGGCGTGGGGGGGGACCTGGGCGTGCACAGAGCCCTGGGCACCGGGCACTGCCCTTCGCTGGGCCTGGAACACCACTGCTGGGCCTCGTGCAGCCTGCCCCGCCATGTGCCCATTCCCGTCCACCTCTCCAGAGCCCTGTGCGACAACCATGCCAGGCATGGGTCACATTAGTGCAACACTCGCAGTAGGCCTCTGCTCACCACCACCAGGCCTCATGCAGCCTGCCCTATCTGAGCGTTGCTAGCACTGTTCAGCCTCTCCGTGAGCCGGCTCCAGACCTGCTGTGCGAGCTGCAGCGATTTGTTGGTGCGAGGGACGGGTCACTGCAATGCGTTGCTCGCATGACCCCAGTCACGGCTGCTGGGCCCGGCACGGTGCGCAGCAGCCTCAACAGTTCCCTGGTGCGAGGGACGGGACACTTCAGTGCGACACGGCTGGCTTTGTGTAGTCGGGCTCCCGGTACAACATTGGCCTGGCCCTGGTCCTGCTGGCCTCCAGCTGGTGTCCCCGGGGCCGGACATTGTTTTCCTTGCCCCCACAGCCCCCCCTAATCTCCGCTCTGCTCTCCACAGGGACTCCCGGGCCCCCAGGGGCCAAACGGCTTCCCCGGACCCAAAGGGCCACCGGTGAGTAACATGCACTATCTACTGCCTCCCCTGCCCCTCTGCCTGCCCCCACCCCCCCGCCGGCCCCTCCCCCCCCCTCCCCCACTCCCACCCGGCCCCCCAGCTGGCTCCCCTGCCCTCCTGACTGCTCCCCAGTTCCCTCCCACTGTGATCTCCCCCTGCGCCACTGACCTCTCCGTTTTCCTCCCCACAGGGCCCCCCTGGCAAGGACGGGCTTCCCGGGCACCCCGGTCAGCGAGGAGAAGTCGTACGTGTCTCTGTTACTGCGCTGTTGGGCTTCAGATACTTTTCTCTTACCCCTGTGTTACTCTGTGTTTCCTCCTGTGTTACACTCTGGTTCCTCCCAGGTTACACCTGAGTAACTCCAGGCTACCTCTGGAAACTCCCTCATTACTCCTCATATAGTACCTTGTTACTTTCTGATTATTCCCCCTGTTACTCCTTTCTTACTCCCCTGTTACTCTCTGATTACTCTCATGTTACTCTCATATTACACCTCACATACTCTGGCATTACTCTCTGATTACTCCCATGTTACCCCAAATTACTCCCACATTACTCTCTGGGTACTCCTGTGTTACACCTCACATGCTTCTATGTTACGCTTTGGATACTCCCGTTACTCCTCTTTCACTCCCGCTTTGCATTCTGGTTGCTCACATATTACTCTCTGGATACTCCTGTATTGTTCCTCTCTCACTCCTGTGTTGCACTCTGGTTACTCCCGCATTACTCCTCTCTCGCACATTGCTCTCTGTTCACTCCGCTGTTACTCTTGGTTACTCCCACTTTACTACTCTCTTACTCCCATGTAACTCTCAGGGTATTCCCATTTTAATCCTTGTATATTGATGTATTACATTCTGGATACTCCTGCATTACTCCTCACATACTCCAATGTTAGTCTGGTTACCCCCACATTACTGCTCACACACTCACGTGTTACACTCTGGATTCACCATGGTTACTCCTC